GTACATGAGACCAGATGGAGTGATCGAGAAAATCCCTCTTGAGCATATCGAGGAGAGGGACCGTAGGCTGGTGCTTGCTCCCGACATTGAGCAGGTACACACTTCTTTATACTTCTGCCCACTGCACTTTCTCATTTCTTCCTACTGCATTCTGTTATTTTCGTCTATTGTGCTCTGTTATGTGGTTCTCAATTCCAATGCTCTCTCTCTTGTAGGTACCTACAACATATGCTAGCGACCTTCTTCGGACGATTGATCGACTGCTTCTCATGGTACGAAGGAGACAGAATGTTCTACCGACTCATGGGATCGAGGTATACTTCTTCATTTGTAGTTCACTTGTGCTACAATTGCTGAAAACTTGCTATTCTATTGAGTCTATACTGATATTGGTACTTTCTCTTTTTCTTTTTTCTCCTTTCAGCTTAAGCCAGTATAGGTGCACCTGTAAGACCTCCTCCAGCTAGGAAACGGAGACGAGGCTCAATAAGGAGCAAGAGATGAGTTGATCGGGGGAGTGGCAGAGTGAGACAGTGCTTACCTCCTGAGGAGTCTTTCAAGGAGTACACGACCTCTGGAGAGGAGGAGGAGGTGGTCGAAATACAGTCAAGTAGTCCCGGTGATGACAGTGACGCCCCTCCTCCGTAGTCGAGGAGGAAGAGAGCGAAGATAGGTTACTGATTTTTGCTTTTTCTTTTGCTTTGTAGTTAGGAACTATAGCTTCAGATATACCTATGTTTTTTTTTTTTAACTTTTCTTTTGTTTTGAGTCTTTGTAAATAATGATCGAGGTTAGACCCACCAGTTTATAAAAACATAGATTTTTGCAGTGATCTTCTCGCATGATATGTGATGAATGAATGGTGCTTGCATGATACTTTTGTACAAGACTGTTAACAACTGTGAATGCTTTCTCTTGAATTGATTCTTGAATCGGATAATAACTTACAATTGGTCAAAATATAAAATACAACTCGATAACACGATAACAAAATGAAAATAACTCGAAAACACTAAAAAACACTTGGTATAAATAAAACAGGACTAAAAATACAACCATAGCACGCCGAAACAAAAGCCAACCCTTTTCTGCAACTGCACTGACCTAGGCCAATATTTAGACTTGACCGGGTCCAAATAGGCACGGTCGGGCTTCAATGAGGCACGGCCGAGCCCAAAAATGAGGTCGGTCAATGTTGTCCAACTGTCATGCACTGCTCCTTCTCAAAGTTTATAAAAGGTGCTCCCAAGCTGTTTTCCTGGCAAAACAACAAACTTTTAATATTTTTCTCTCAAGATGAAGACTCTTCTCAACAATAGGCTCTGAGACTGGATAACCACTTTGGACGGCTCGAAAAAGGTGAACTATCGCAGTTTTGGCCTAAAAGCTCTTTTTCCTCTAAGCCGTACTTTGCCTTGTTTTCCGTTCCTCCACGTCGCTGCTCAATGCTGGAACCCGATCACACATGTGTTTCACTTTGGATCACAGGAGATGCGTCCAATGATAGAAGAATTTCAAGCATTGATAGAATCCCGGCGTAACAGAGAAACTATGCCTCAGCCCCGTTTTGGCCATACCCAGGCTTTGGGACAGATGTGTGGGTTTTCAACATATGAGGCTCGGTCCTTGGCCCAGGATGGAGAGCTAGACATCCCCGGCTTTGTTCATCAATTTTCCGCTATTGAAAACAGGGCGACCTTCTCTGGCAAGGTTATCGGTAACATGCTCTCTGTTTATGTTTGGTTGCGCAATTCCTCCTTACCCTTAGTTTCAACGAAGCCAACATCCGATTGATGAAAGTGGCCCAATGTCTGAAGGAGGATAAGAGTTGCATGGGCCTAGCCCTGACCGAAACCTTGATGGGTTTGGATGCCTTTCATCGGTGAGAGACTACCCACTTTGCAGGGAGTCCGCTACTTCTTCAGGTATTGCCTCCCACCCTACTAATTTATAATTCTCACATCACTCGACACTCAATCTCTATTTTTCTCTCAAAACCTCTTCCTTACTTTTCCCTCATCGTACACCTCTCTATTCTTTAATCTCTCTTATTTTTCATCCCTCTTCAGGTATGGCTTATGGATAAACTACAAGTAATGGACCCTTGCCCTGAGTACTCAGCCAGAGCTTACTTCTTTCGCCAACGGCTAGTGGATTTCCCTTCACAAGGGTTGTGGTGTGCTTGGATGTTCAGTAGATCTACAACTGACATACCTTGGCATTGCCCCTGGCTTACTTCGACTGAGATGAGCTACAACATGTCCCGTCAGCGGACAATGCAGTTGATTGGCCTCACACACTGCGTGTTCTATTTCCCATTCTGGTTCAGACGCTAGTTTGGACATGAGTAGACACGTCTAGATGAGGAGGTGGAATACCCAGCTTCATTTCCCATTCGTGGTTCACACCTACCTCGATACCTTACTACTTGGAGGAAGAGGGAGCTTCTGGCCCCTGTCCCTAGCTTTAGTTACGCCCTTTCTGGAGGGTGTTTAGCTTGGCTTGAAGACGAAGAACAAGTTGGGCCATCTTTGGCTGCAGAAACTTCCACGATTGCAAGCAAAAGACATAGATCTACCTGACTGGGCTGTGCCCCTAGTTTTACTGCTTTGATCTTTCTTTTCAACTTTTAGTGATGTAAAAGCAATTTTCGATTTAAATCAAAGAGTTAAGAGTGTATTTGTGTTGAAATTAATAAAATTAAAGTTGCAAGTACTAAAAATTTTCCTTTCAGTCCCAAAAATGGTCCAAGTTGTAAAAGGGTAAAATATGGAGAAAAATAAGCTTTTATTAAAAAATTTCAAAAACGTCTCCGGAAATGGTCATTACCTGACACACTCAAAACCCATCCTCAAGATGTACAGCCACGAATCAACAAATCACGACTGCCTATAACCACATTCACCATATTAGTCATTCTGCCAAAATAAAGATCACACAACTGAGCTATTTGATAATGGAGAAAGGTGACCTAATCAGATATGAATGAAAAGGATAGTTGAGTTGAAAATAGTTGCGGCCGAACTTCAGAATGAAGTTGCCTATGTATCCCAAAGATGGGAATCAGGCCTTACTTAGTTCGGTTGGGGTTCACTCGAGTATTAACTATCTTTTTTTACGCTCTAACGTTTTGTCAAAGTTGCCTTTTAAGGTTTTCAACCTTGCGAGCTAAGTTTTTCTTTATTTCTAATTTTTCATACTCTAACTTTTGCCTAGGTCGCCCTTTCAGGTTTTCGGCCTAGTGAGCCTCACAGGGTAATATTTCTTCAACTTGTCCATATTGATCGGTTATGAAAACTCCAAGCCATCCAAGTCTATGAGAATAATCGCCCCTGTTGACCAGATTGACTTGATGATATAAGGACCAGTCCAATTGGGTCTAAACTTGCCCCTAGGGTCATGGATGGGAGCCCGGTTGTCTTTCAGTACCATGTCCCTTTCCTTGAGATTCCTAGACTTAACTTTCTTGTTAAAAGCCCTAGCAATCCTAGGTTAGTAACCTTGAATATGATATAATGCCCTTAGTTTCATTTCATCGAACAACATTAACTCCTCGAACCTACTCTGCTGCCAATCCGTCTCTACTATCTGACACTTGGCCATAACTCTCAACGATGGCACTTCAATTTCAATTAGAAAATAGCCTCCATTCCATAGACAAGAGAATAGGGGGTTGCCCCTGTAGATGTTCGGATTGAGGTTCTGTAGCCCTAGAGTGCAAGTGGCAGTTTATCCGGCCAGTCCCTGTAGTTCTCAATCATTTTTCGCAGGATATTCCTGATATTTTTGTTCGCGGCCTCAATAGCTCCATTGGTCTGCGGTCTGTATGTTGATGACTTGTGGAAAGCCACGTTATATTTCTCAAGCAGATCTACCACCTCTTTCTTGAAGTGAGCCGTTATCTGAAATGATCTCGTTCAGAACCCCATATCGGTAAATGATGTTTTTCATAATGAACTTAGTCACATGTGATGCTTTCAGCACATAATAAGACTAGGCCTCCACCCATTTAGTAAAGTAGTCGATTGCTACCAGAGTGAACTCATGCCCTTTTGATCCCTTTGGCGTGACTGCACCGATAAGGTCGATTCCCCAGACTGAGAAAGGCCATAGTGAAGTCATATTGTAGAGCTTAGACGGTGGAATGTTCATACGATTGTCATGAATTTGGCATTTGTGGCATCGCTGAACAAAACCAATACAATCCTCTTCCATGGTTAACTAGTAATAACCTTGTCTAAGGATTTTTCGGGCCAACATTACACCGTTCATGTGGGCTCCACGCTCTCCCATGTGAATGGCCTCCGGAAGACATTTTGCTTCTTCTTCTTCAACACATAACTTATGCATTTTGAGATGGTCTCTTTTGTATAATTTGCCTCCGCAGATGATAAATTAGATGGCCAAACACCGTATTCCCCATTTGTCTTTGGCATTTGCCCCCGGTGGATACGTTTCTTTTTCCAAAAAGTTCCAAATATCGTAATACTAGGGGTTTTTATCTTGCGCTTCATCTGTTGCGCGACGATCTGGTAGGCAGACGTATACTTCTGCTCAATAATGATTGGACGCATCTTTACTCCCAGCGGGATGTATACCATAGAAGATAGAGTTGTTAATGCATCAACGAATCAGTTGCTCTCTCTCAACAAATGTGTAAACGTCAGTTTTTCAAACCTAGGAATCAGAATATCCAAGGCCTGATGATACATCTTCATGTTCTCTTTTTTGACCTTCCAATCCCCATTAGCTTGAGAGACAACCAAATTTGAATCTCCAATGACATCCAACCTTTTTGCCCTTAGTTGTAGGGTAGCTTCCAAACTAGCAATGCACGCCTCATATTCTGCTTCATTGTTAGATACTCTGAATCGGAGTTTGAACACTAAGGGTATGTGGGAATCATCGGATGCTATGAGCAACACACCTATCCCATAACCGTATCAATTAGCCACCCCGTCAAAGTGCATCGTCCACGTTTCCTCCTCTATGAAGATATATATAAGCAACATGTTATGTTACATACCATCACAAGAGACACATCCTCACACAAATCACCAAAAGCTGTTCTGGTGTTTAGGTTGTAACACTTATAAGAATAAAACTAGTAGAGATGTATACACACAATAGAGGGAGTCTATTACTTCACTTCAATTTCAATTAAATTCACCATGACCAGCAGCTACACTCAAGCAAGACGCAGATCGTGAGACCCAAATCCTCCTGGTACTCCTCCACCACCACCATGGTGAAGGTTAGGGTGGCTTGGTTGCAGCCGGAATGCATATAGGTTTGAGACCCCATTTGACAAAGCAGCTGCGGAGTCATAGTCTCCGTCGTTGTCCACTAACCCATACTGTGGATCTTCACATTTGGCCTCCTACATTACATACATCAAATTCTATAGTAGCCCATAATTACAGAATCAAAATCTCTAACTTTAATACACTAAAGAACTATTAATGAATCAGAAAAATTAAAAGAAGAAGACTATTAATGAATCAGAAATATTAAAAGAAGCAGAAGAAGAAGATAAAACTAACTAATGTTCCTAAAATTATGTGCTGTGATACTTGGGTTAGGCCTATCCCAGGCCTATTTCAACTATTGGAACCATTCAATTTATAGAACCTATCATGCATATTATTTATGTAAGAGCTTAAGTTGATCAGACACTGATAACTATAATCATGGCCTAATTATTATAAAACAATAATTTTTAATTATTATCAAAAGTATGCTTGCCGTTTATGCTTTTAAAAACAAATGTGATCTGTCATATAGTTTTGAATGTCCAATTAACCTAAATTTTTTCATAAACAATCTTCTGAAAGAGGCTCGCAATGGATTCCCACAAGCTTTATAGCAGCAGGAACCCTCTTGCTAGTTTGGGTACATGTTATACCTTGGGTACAACAGGCCCTGCTGCACCCATGAATGGGGTTTGTTTAAATTGTAAAATTCGCCAAACAAGTAATTCATACAAAAATTAAAGGGTAAATTATAATTTAACCCCCTGTGGCTTATCTCAAAAACACGGAACCCCCTTATAGTTTCATTTATAACACTTAAACTCCTAGACTTTATATCATGTTGTAGTTTTTGACAGGCGTAACAGAAATATACAAAACGACGTCGTTTTGTGTATCGCTTGATAAAAAATAAAATCAAAAAAAGGAAAAACAAGAAAGGAAGAGAGAGAAAGTTCGAATTTGACATTAAAATCAGATCAAGAGCAAGCACAAGCATGGCACAGCAGACATGCAAATAATGGTTAAGGTAGCGACATTCTTCATCATCATCATCCCCTCACAGTTCCTCGAAACTCTGACGTAGTTGAAGTGAAGGAAGCTCAGGTCTGGAGTGAGGTCGAGAAGCCTACTCTCATGAGGCGGAGAGTTTAGAGAGAGAAAGATATATGTGTTGATCATTACCATCAAACCAGCGAGCAAAACAACCTGTGTGTTGTGTCCATCTATGTTTGTTTTGTTTTCAGCTTCAAAACTGCCCCCTGCCCATGCACACCGAGACCCACCCTCTCCCTAAACATTTTCTCTAAACAAAATATATCTTTTACCACCTCACTCTTAACACCACTCCAGCCCACAGAGAGAGAGAGAGAGAGTGTTTTGTGTTTTCTCCTCACTTCATGGCTTTGAAACTCTCTGTCTCAGAGATGGGTTCGTTGGTTGGTTTTTCTTGTCAGACTGCTGAAAATCCATTACCATGTTTGCATATCATTTCCCATGCCATAGTTCGCATTTTTGTTAGCAGTTAGTATGATGCGCCGAGCCTAGTGCATGCAATACTGATGAATGATGCACGCATGCATAGCATAAGGTATGCTAAAGTAAACATGTCCTAATACTAACCATCAAAAGCAGGTAAGTAAAAGGGAGAAAGAAGTGGGGGTTGGAAGACATTCACACACGCATCCACACTTATTACAGAATTTGCCCTCGCTCGAAGGGACCGAAAGAATAATACAAGTTAATTAACCTGCAAGCTAATTAAATATTACAGACCAATTAATAATTAAAAAATTAACTAATCTAATGAAAGTAGTAAACAACCTCAAGAAGGGGGGCCAATGCAATGCGCGCTCGGCTCCGCTCGGAAAGTCACTACCATGCACAAGTTGCCTCTGCTTTGACTGTTCTGCTTCTCTGAAAATTGCATAACTCCAAGGTTGCTTCTCTGAGTGTTGGGAACACCACCGGCTAAAGGGATCATCACCGGCCATTTTGAAGTGGTCATCGACCATCCATTGAGCTCTCGGCCAAACATGTTTTGCCGGTCGGCACCCAACACTGCCGGCCGGTCAATTCTTCCTGCTGAAACTTGCAAGCCTGACAGCCAACAGAGAGGACAAAACATAGTTATGGCAATGCAATTTCAAGCAATGGTATGCATCAATCACACCGCTGTATCATATTCATGAACTCAAAGGGATATGATTCTCGATTCTCGGACCACCAATCGCACATTTCCATGCATGATGGCCCAAAGAATCAAGTGTGCATTTCGATTTCAAATAGCCAAGAGTGCAATAACTAGCGAATAAAATAAACAAAGGCGACAAGGAGGCATATATCATTACCCTCATCTATGGCTTGATCATTTAGAGGTGAAATAAGCAAATGACATAGCACAATGCAAAATTCAATCTACCATGCAATAGTGAGCCAGTAAAGATGTGTTTCCCACAACTCAGATGAGGAGACGACATGCTAAGAAGCAAAAGTAATATATGCAAAAGGGACAACATAATCCAGAGCCATGCAAAAGTGTAACAACAAATGCACACATGCAAGGGTGTATAGATTAATCATTGGAATACACTAGTACGTTATTAGTGCATATCAGACTATAAAGGACTTTCATAACGACCTATGAATGTATGAAATATTGGTCAACTTCAAACACAAAAGTTTAACAACAATATAGTATTATGAGACAAGTATTATCTAATATATTTATATGTTTTTATACAGCAATTTGTTATGCTATTTAGACATGCTAAGACTTTTTATGAGACATTTCAAGGTTACACAAAGACACACACAAAACTAACCCGGATAACATCATCGGACGCTTAACACATTAAGCTGGCGAAAAATGCTTGTCGCATAAAGATATACTGTGTAGACCAAAGAAATGCATTACTTCTATGCGCAATAAATATGCCTTTGAAAATCAATGTGTAAGAATGGAGGTATTGCTGAGAACCAAGGGAATTGAGAACAAAAGAGTAAGGAGAGCAATGGCAATTGGCAGGTGAAAATGTGAATAAGACAAATGGTCCAAGATTCAAGGGCAAGTCCCCTTTAACAATTCGACCGGTGAGCATCTAGAACATTTTACACTTTATTTACTTCTGCAAACACATCCCCAATAGGCTTCATGCACCCAAATTAAGATCTCATACCAAACACCAGAGTTAATTAGAACAATGCTAACAAAACCAAAGAGCTCAAAATTACGCGTAGCCAATGGTCCATGGTGCATTTGCTAATGAAATTGGATGATCCGTAAACACTACAATGGATACTCAGTCCGCATTGATCGGACAATGACGCACGACCAAACATCTATGTATGTTGTGGAGCATCACCATACGCAACAATCCTCCTCCCTCCAATGAGACACATAAAGCCGAAAACCGCGCACATGTAAAAACTCGCCAAAAAGCATTAAACAAGCATGCTTAAAGAGGACTGAACATATGTAGTATAATAAGTCGGTGTGAACACAACCATCCACTTAAAATATATCAAACAATGTTCCATGAAGTCTATTAACTGACTTACATGCATACATAAATAATAAGGAAATGACCTACAGCTAACAATGCCAAAGGAGCTATGGCTTACATGTTTAGGTTGACCAAAACAACCAAAAAAAGACCTATAAACATGGCATAAAAACCTCAAAACACCGTCGCGACACGCCTATACACAACAAAGAATAGAGCAAAAAAGACAAATAGCTTAGAAAAAACCAAGGGAATTTAAAAACCTAAGATACATGAATAAAGGCTACAAATATGACATATAAACAAAAAAGGCAATTGTATAAGCTAAGCAAAGACAATAGGAGAAATAAATGCACAAAAAATCAAATTAGAAAAAAATTAGAAGCTATATAATTATAAAAGAACATATAACTCAAGCAAATAAAAAATCAGTAAGGCACTGGCACATGACCTCACTGAAAACCCGCCTAACAATCTTATAGACATCTCTAAAGGGCGGAAAGATGGCCTTTTCAAGGACATTCAAGTCGCTAGGAGGGAGCTGGTGGCCCTGCTCACTCCTAGGACCTCAAGAGACAACCATCCCATATACACTCTGGTGAAAATCCCTTAAGGATTTCAGTGGTGGGAGGCCTAATTCAACACCGTAACCAAAATCTCCCGGAGCATACAACAACCGAATCAAGTTGTAAATGGTGCATCGCCAAAAACAAGGTGGCGGCAAAAACAAGTCGCTA